ATCTTTGTCAATTTTATTTTTCAGTCTTTATGATGGCCGATACTTGATCTATCTCTTACTGTTACATCCCCAGGGAACGCCGGGCTCTACTGCTAGTAGATAATATAAATAAAATAAATAAAAATATATGAAATGGTAAAAGTTCATATCCAAATATTAGAGTAGTGCCGACATCATCTTTTGTTCAGGGAATCTTAGAAGTATATTTGTCATTTATTCAGATTGTTTTTGTAATCCATCAAGAAAGATGTATGGGTAGCATAATTGTCATTAGAATGAAAAGCTAAATTCAAATTCTGGCCTATTGTGTTGCTCTTCAGAAAAAGCATGAATCTAGCTCCTCTCCTTCCAGTATATTGGTTAAAAAGCAAAACAGACTTGGATCTCTAGGCTTGGGTAGTAGTCAGTCTAGAAGGACAACTCTTAATTCAAAACTAAGAAAATGCAATGGAAAAGCACCCTAATATCATTATCAAGAAGTAATGGAAATTTATAGATAATAAAGAAAAGGAATATGGAGAGTCATGATCACCTACATCTTGAAGGGATATTGCATTAAAAAAACGATCTGTCAACACCATTTACAAGCTTTAAAAAATAATTCAAAAGTGAAGAAAATTGTCAGTGTTTGAAACATACAAAAATGTTTTTGTTTTTTTTAAATGGAAACTAGATTTATTACAAAACTCTAAATAGCCTTTAACATATCAACCCAAGTGGAATCTAGAGAGGAAAAAATTTTGGAGAATTCTTTTTTATGAATTGTTTGAAACCCGGACAAACTGTTATTGCTCAAAACCACACTGAGCAATTGGCTCATTTGAATGAAACAATAGATCAAAAAAGGAGTTTTTTAAAAAAAAAAAAATAAAAAGGAGTAATGATTTCAATTTATAAAAAAATCATCCTCATGTTGTAAATGCAATGAAAGAAATGTCCATAAAATTGGGATGGAACATCCTACTACATGCAGTGTTTTCTCCAACAGTACCTCCTTGTTTTGCACCTTGAAACACTCCTAGACTCGTTAGTGGTTCCAACAATTTCAGGATATTGAAAAAATTCCTTGAAGAATTCATCAAATCAAAAGTGGAGCCATTCTTTTATGAAGGTAGGCATGATTTAGCTGAAATTGGTTATAGAAAACCAAGGAAGGTACTTTAATTTCTTTATGTCATGCTATGGCAACATAATATGTTAGACAATTTAGTTGAAAAGTGGCATAAGATGATTGAAAAGCTGAGATATTACTCTGATGACTGAATGAAATTATGTTAAAAGATTTTGTTAAAAATCAAAATAAATTTTTAAATCAACTTAATAAGATGTATACACCTGGGTCACACAAAGAGTGTACATACATACATACAAAAAGCATACATACATACATACATGCATGCATACAGAAAGCATACGTACATGTATACGTACATGTATACATACATACAGAAGTAGGCACCTCCAAAAAATTTCTAAAAAAGTGTATACCATGATGAAAAAAGACCCCAAACTTGATAAAAACAAACTTTTATTGTCAAAATGTTTATGTTATTATTAAGAGCAAAGGCAAAAATATTTTTTTATTATTTTATTAAATATTTTAATCCTTTCTAGCAATGTCAAAGTTTTGGTCAAAGATTAGTTCAGGGCTTTTTAGCATCATTTTTGTCATTAAACCCACATTGTTTTGGAAATTCTTGCAAAAATGAAATAATTGTCAGATTTTAATTAAATTTTCAGGACTTATTCACAAATGAATGAAATTATTTTTGAAATTTTTCTCTTTTTAGAAAATCTTGGTAAAAATATATATTTTCTTTTTATATTTGTTACCCCCACTTACCAAATTTTATGAAATTTCAAGAAATTAAAATTTCAGTTTCTTCATATTTATATTAGTTAAAAGCCGAACTTGTTCCAGTCAATTAGGTTTTATTTTGATTATTGGAAATATAAAATTTAGTTTATCAGCTTGAAATTAAAACTAAAATAAAAGCTTCAAGAAAGATTTTCATTTTTAAAAATTCAGTTGAAAATTTAGGTATCATATATTTTGTGGAGGTCCCTATATAGAAGCATTTTCTTGGTCTAAAAAATAACTTTCTCCAAGCAAAAATATGAAAACAATATACAAAATGAAATTCTTTATTTATATTCAGACTAGTGTTATTATGTTTTGGACATTTATTAAATTTATGGGGTAGATTGTCCTCATTTTGCTCTGTCTAGGGACATCTAGACCCATAAACACCTGAAGAAGGCAGGAGGGCACAATAGTTGAAACACTACGATAATGGCAACAAAGATAAAACAACAGTTTGAATGTAAATAATGGCAAGTCCTCACCACAGAAATTCAGACAGAAATAAAATTCTCTGAAACATTTTTCAAATCAATCTGTGAATATTAACTCAGTAGATAGCATATGTCAGTTTCTCTGTGCCCCTCCTGTCAATTGAATCAGTCTTTGAAATCAACATTTCATTGTTTGTTTTCTTCATTCTATCTACAAAATATTTAAATCATAATCCTCAATGGGAAGGAAGAAAATAAGACTGAAAATCAAATTCAATGTCCTTCGTGTGCTTGTCAATGTCCTTTTGGTTCTTGTCCAAAGTCAGCAACCAAAAGTTTCAGAGAATCCATTCTGAATTTACACCTCAAATGAGTTGCCTTCTTAGTGGTAGTTCTATTAGAATTTCCCATTACTTTCTCGCCATTTCTTTCTCCTCCTTTTACTGTTTCAAAATTTTCAAATTCTAAATCACTTTAAATTTATTTGGCATTATTTGCAAATATCTGGTCTGTTGCTCCTATTACGCATTTCGAGATTCTTGACAAAATCCAGAGAAGGGTCTGCAATATAATAGATCCCAACCAGGCACCTTGGCTCCAGTCACTTTCTCACAGACGTGATATGGCTTCCCTCTGTCTGTTCTACAAATATTTTCATGGCAACTCCTCGGATAAGGTTGTTCTTTTTTTTTTGTATTGCTGCCAACATTGGTTTTCTACCTCAAATTCAATCCCCCCTCTCCAACCCCCAAAATTAATTGTAAACAACAGTTGTTAGTATCTACATCCAAAAGATTTGTTAAATTGAAGTAATTTTGAATTTTTCTTAGGTGTTTCTTGGATTCAATGAGAATTTAAATTACTTTAGCATCATTTACAAACAAATAAAATTCACCTTTCAATGATGATCTTTCTTTAGCCTTTATACTCAGATTCTGGTCTTTCTGAAAATTCTTGTTCATCAGAATATTTGTTACAACATTGTTATTGACAAAAACAGGATAATCCTAGGTTAGAGACAATTTCAGTTTGCGATTTTATCTTTCATCTCTTTGAGATAATTAGTATTTGTGACCTGACTTTGGTCTCTGAAATTCCTTGTCCCTCAGAATATTGATTATAAAATTGTTGGGGACTACAATATGTAGAGATGATTTACATTTGGGAATCACCTTCCTCACAAAGAGCAACAATGTTTTACCATTTTTCCATTGAAACCTGTGGCATTTTGTAACAATTATGAAAATTGAATAAAATGAGAATCCTATTTGTTTCTGAATAAATTTACAAAACTATTTCTGACACAAACTCAGTCCACACCAAAGTTGATAAGACATCCAATATCTTTGTCTGCCAAAATAGGCTATTCACAATATGAGATGATTTTGGATTTTATTGTTTTTTAAAATATATATATATATATATATATATATATATATACTCTTAGCTCATCAGAGAAAAGCATTTAGATGATGGATACAACTGTCTTCTCCTTTGAGGCCTCTGATCTGTGGGATGCAAAATTAAAATTGACAGGGGAAAGATAAGGAGATCCTATTTATTTGGGTAGAACAAGGCAGAGAGGATATTGAGTTCCCTCAGAGAGTGATCAAGACACATCCAACTGAGTCTGAGTCTGTAATCCCTGGATCTTCTTAATCTTAATCCCCTGGTATTGTTTCATGTTTTGGAAATAATGGGCCTCTCTTGGAAAATCAGTGATATTTTCTATGCATCATACTCATTTTGTTGTTTCATATAAGCTTGGTTGCATTGGCAACTTTACAAGATATGTTTTGTGTCCATAAGCTTTTTACATGGTCATATTTATAACCCTGAAAACTGGTTTCTGAAAACATGACAATGTTTCATATGAATCAACTAATAATGTAGTAATACAACATCAAACCATGCTTCTTCATCTCCTTATTGTTTATGTGTTTCTTCTTTCATACAATCATTAACTTCTTGGGCTAAGGTTTTCCACTGGCATGGTTTGGAAAGATTATATTGAATCAATCGCTTGCTAGATTCTATCTTACATATTTATAAGTCTACCCTTCATCCATCTATTGAATATTGTTGCCACATCTGGTCTGGTGCTTCTGCTATATATTTAGAAATTCTTAATAAAATATAAACAAGAATCTGTAATGTTATTGGTCCTGACCTGGCATTTTGGTTTCAGTCACTTTTCTCACAACCATAATGTAGTTTCTCATGCCTTTTTTTATAAATACTTTCATGGTAATTGTTCTGTTGAACTTTTCTCTATGGTACCTAGACTTTATGAATTTAAGCACAGTACTAGATTGGCTGCAAGGTCTCATCATTTTACAGATGTAAATGTATGTTTTATGCTAACAGTTTCTTCTCTTGCATTTCTCACTTGTGGAACTCTCTTCCAACTTCTTGCTTTCCGGTTAACTTTGATCTTAAAAAAATTAAATGCAATGTCAATTGTTATTTTCTGTCTTCTTAATTCCTGTTCATTTATTATTATTTATCCTTAATGTTTTTTTTTCATCTTCTCTTACATTCAGTAACCCCCTTGCATCTTAGTGGCTTTATTGCCTTTCTTGGTGTGAAATGATGTTCCATGATCAATGAATGTTAAATGGTTAATTACAGTTATTACAACACCATTTTCAAAGTTGAATTGAAAGAATGTAAGAAAACCCACACTTTTATAAATTGCCACTTACCTGGAAGGCTGTAGGCAGATGCATTTCCGCCAAGGTTCTTGACTATACAGGAAACTGTCACAGGGGATGTAAGAGAACCATTAACCAGGTGATATTTCATCTGAAATAAATAAATCAATCAGAAAATATTGAGTTTACTTCTTTGTCCAACTACAGTCAAATCTTAACACTTACAATAAGAAACTTTTATACTATGATTACATACATACATACATTGTGTGTGTGTGTGTGTGTGTGTGTGTGTGTGAATCCTGGATGTGGGAGTAAATTTAAAGGCATGACTAAAATATCTATCTATAAAGGAACCAATTTGATTGGCTCAAACATCTATGCACAAATCAAGTTGATTTCGTTATGATATGAACGTGTTTTTTTTGCATTACTAAGCGTGTGGTGGCAGAATGGAAAAGAAACAACAAAAATTTGAAGCAATAGACAATTGTATTAACATAAAATACAATAAATAAAAAAAATCAGAGTAGATATCTCCTTGTATGACAAAAAAAAGAGATAAGTAGGTTTGTAAAGGCATCTGGTGAGGTATACATATATGTGACTTACTGGGGTGACGGCATTGGCAAGCTGGTTGAGTCTGATGTCTTTCAAGATAGGAGGTCACTTTTTAATGTGCATGTGAACTTGGGTTGATATTCCCGAATGTCCTTTTCATGAGCTTTTTTGTCATTTTTGAGGCTCAAATCGGCTCCACTTTTCATTTTGTTTCTTTAGTCAGGAACAGGTACTATTGACTGGAAATTCTGGATTGTATTGCTTTTTTTTTCTTTGAGTGTGTGAGTAAATGGAAAATATGTGTGGAGCCTTGTGCAGCTGATGGATTTTTAGTTGAGTTTTGGGTGTTCAGAGCATTCACATCCAGCTAGTGTTTGAAATTAGCATATTGTGTATCAGAAGATCTGATTTTGGGAAGAATGTAATACTTTCAATCCAAACTCAAAAATAAATGCTTGATTACCTGCTGCCAGTTAATGGTCTTTCAAATCATTACTAATGAGCTTATTATCAGCAGGTACTCTATAATTATTCCATGATCTAAACATGAGCTGGATTCCCACTCATATTCTAAGATAAAAGTCATCAACTAACACCAAAAATCATGCTAAATATATACCATTTTATAATGCATAAGAATAAAGTTTCAAATCAATTTATAAGCATCATGGGCAATGTCTAAATGTCACTGACTTTTGAGAAGAATTTACAAAATGCCTAACATATCCATGATTTGTAGCTGAACAGTGCCCACCCTGGTGAGGCAAATGGAACATAAATTCAAATCATTTGATTTAAAAAGGACATATTGGACCACTTTATACTTGAGTCAAAAGGTAGATATTGGTCTGGTATAGATGGGGGATACCATCCTGTGATATATTATTTCATGCCTTCTGTACAAGTTGTAGATGGGCTTAACTGAATGAGTTGGGTGTTGTCCTGTCATGTCCCATAAATGTTCAATGGAGAACAGGTCTGGCATCTAGGGATTGACTGATTTGTTTGTTTAGTGGCATATCAACACCTTATGAGTCATTTAATGCTGAAATATAATATTGTTGGGAGCTTGGAAGTATTAGAAATATGATATGTTATTCTGCTTTCACAATTGTATACATGGTAGATGATACTCAGCTTTTGTGCATATACATGTTTCTGTGATTACTAGAGGTGGTAATGTGTGTTTGTTGTTTTGTTGAGTGTTATATTTTGGAATACAGTTTGATTTAAGAAATTGTAGGGTATTATATGACTTAATGTCATGAAAATTCTTTCATGCTGGTTGCAGTATTTTAAGCAAATTTGGGTGAAGTCACTACAATTTGTTGGTAAGTGCGTATTGTTGATGATTTTACTATAAATATGTATTGCCAGTAATTTTTTATATAAAAATTGTATTGCTGGTACTTTAACTATAAAAATGTATTTTAATACTCTCATAGTGTTTTATTTTTGTTTGGTGGTTCACTATTTGCTCATAGCTGGGACCCTAACAGGTGCTACTACACCGGATAAGGGTGAACCTGAGAAGTTTAGCAATTAAGAGGTGGTTCCACACTCCTTAAAACCTCCAATCTCCTGATCAGAGGCCATGCTGCCAGATGTACTTTATTGTCATACCCAGGGCTATCCTTCTTTGAACATTGTGGACTGGCAATACACAATTACAACAAGCTATTTAATTTGTATATAGCATCTATAAGATGGGACAGTTTGGGAATGGAACCCAAGCATAATCATAAGCACAATATTCCTTTACATTTCATAATATTGTTTTACACCCTTGTGCAAATAAATTGAAACAATTGCTTTAGTTTCCTTTCTTTCACCATATGGCCAGTTTTAGACCCCCTGGAGTGACAGGGTGTAATCAATTTCTATTTTTCCTTGGATTAGGCCATTTGCAGTGATGTGCAGTAATATGAATCTATTTTTGGAGTGTATGAGGAAATTTGTTTGGCCTTAAAAAAATATTGTGTGATCTGTGATTGCATCAGATTTTCATCATGCCCAGACACTAATGTCTTGACTGCCGATTAGTTGTCCTACAGCCATTGTCTGTGATGGACGTTACTTCAAGGAAATATATGAAAATTGTAATGCTGTACGAACACATGTGTAAGCCTTACCATAGAGCAAATCAAAGTACTATAGACTGGCCAGGAAACTCTCCTGATTTAATTCCAATCAAGAATCTGTGGTCAATCTGCAAGGAATGACTGCATAGAATGGACATATGAAGTACTAACATATATACTGGGTCATGTTTCATTGGAAAAATATAAAAAATAAGTAAATAATAACAGAATTATTTGTTTTGTTTCAATTAAATTGCACTTTGAGAGCTGCCATGTGTTGGACTTTTTGAGATGTATAGCTTATAATTTGCAATTTTAGTTGTATAATTATAGTGGTAGAAAAATATAAATCTTATTATTGGATAATTCTTCTTGGATAACAGATAAAACATGAAAATAAAATTTATAACCCCACCCCCAAAGGTGTGCTTTCTTTTAATTTTCTCTTAATGGGGGCAATTGTCCAGGGGGAGCAGTTCTCCTGATACCCCAAAACACTTGCCAGTTTCAGTGTATCTTTCAATAATGCTAGAAAAATTTGGTAGGTGAACATCTTATTGATTGTTTCTTTTTTTGACTTATTAACCATTTGCAGGTTATTTAAAGTTAGAAAATATTTTTAGATAAGAAGTTTTTTGGAGGTAAAAATGATCTACTAATATAAGTCCTACTATTTAACCCATAGATGCGGGGAGAAAAGGCAGATTCATACTTTTCCAAGGGTATTTGTGCGTAAGTGAATATAATGAACCTGACTGGAATTTGAACTTGCCTCTCCAATTTCCAATTTCAAACAGTTATCCAATTACATCATCTGCATATCCACATTTACAACACCTGGTATACCCAAGCAGTCATTCATCTAGATACTAACTAGGCTTGGCATTGCTTAGCAGTGGCGATCGTACGAGAACTGGTGTTCGAACGTGATATAGCCGTAAGCTGATCAGCTTATAGGAGAAGAAAATTCAATACATTAGTGATTTGAGTTAGTAAAATTTATGCCCGAATGTTTTCTAGTTCCAATTCATAAACATTAATATACTGACATGATAAAATCTTTCTTTTTCTGAAATAAGAATTTCTCAGTTGATCTGGCAGTGAACAAAAAAAAATCAGTTTTTGTATAAAGACATTAAGTCATTTAAACTGGAGAATTTCTATCTGCTAGGATTTACTTTCCCAGATTATTGTATTTCCTTTCTTACAAATCTATATGTGGTTAATAAAGAAAATAAAGAATTCTGTATTCTTTTCTTTTAACACTGAACTGAACCTATAAGTACTTTCTTTTTTCTTGGAGTTTGCCCCAAATACATTTTCTATTGGTAAATAATCACAGAGTTGTTATGCATTAAAGTTTTTGAAATTTTTCTTTTGCCCATTTTGCAATGTTAGCTGCATTTTCCTATCTTGTGGATTGTTGCAGACTGCATTTCATCATGTGCGTTTGGGTGAGTTAAACTTCTAAATAAAAAGATAACTTGCAGCAATTGATTTTAAAACAGATTAAAAAAATATTTATACTTTAAAACTTTGTTAGATTGTGAGCCAGCAGTGACGTTGTTATAATTTTGCAAAAATGCTTTTGTTGCGTGGCATGAATTGAGTGGGAAAACATTGTTTACTCAAAAGTGTGTATCGAGAGAGAGAGAGAGAGAGATTCAGGTACCAGAGGGGAAAATGAAGAAATAGATTGTGAGAGAGAGAGAGAGAGAAAGTAAGAAAATTGAGGGAACCAGAGGAAAAGAAAAATAGATTGATATATAGAGAGAGAGAGAGAGAGAGAGAGAGAAGAAAAAAAATTCCTAGAAAGATAGACAAAACTAGAAGAAAGAAAGAGTAATAGATTTTGAGAAAGAACAAGAGAGAGATATAGCACAAACCTATGGAATCAGAGCAAAGGAAAAATAGATAATGAGAGAGAGGATGACTAGGAAACCAGGGAAAAGGAGGAGAAATAGATTTGAGAGAGAGGGACAGATAAAACAAACTTGAGAGAGTGAGAGATAAATAATGAGACAGTATTGAAAATACTCAGAGAGGATCAATACTGATTTTAAATTTGGGTTGATTTCACTGCTTCTCTGTTTTAATAGTTAACAAGTTTGTGCATTCTAGCCAAGTATTATTCCTTTAAAAGTAACTTTGATCCCCACTGGGTAACTCACATTCCGACCTTGTGCCAGACTAAGATGAGTCTATTAAAAATGAGTGGTTTAAGACAGTTCCATTTTCCCCCACTAGTACCAAAATTCAGGTTGGTTTTTTGAACCCACGTCAAAATGCCTGAATTTGAAATGCTGATTTTCTACAAAGACAGGCTCTTCTTAATTTGAAGGCTGGTGAGGCAACCTTCCTACCCTCATTTATCCTCAAATTAGTTTGTTCCATACTATGCTAAGCTTAGTAGATAGGAGTGATATTAGTGACAGAATATCTTTGAAGCCTTGATTAATATCCTGAACAGATAATGACAATTTTTTTATACTGTTAGTTCACCAAATACAAGCCCCAAGGGACACTCAAGGTAGAGGGCTACTGAGAGAAATTGTTGTCATGGAGGGCAAAAAAGAAATTAAGAAGTGCATATTATGAGGATGTGTGGGGTAGAAATCAGTTGACCCTGGACTTGAAGGGACCAAGATTGTAGTTGTCAGAGAAGTATCCTCTTTGGAGTTTTTTTTTTCCCCAACAAAGAAACACTTCTAAGAAAGAAGCTGCATGAAAGAATTCTCATCAAAGAAACATGAAGAGAATGGGGATGGTTTGTCACCGTGAACATGCCTGGGTGGGTCTGAGCTGCTGGAGAACAAGGAATATAACTCATCTAAACATCTGTATAGTAATAGGGATAAAATAGTGACAGTCTAGCAATGAGGAAAGAGAGCTTGGAAAATTTGATACTTACAGGACAGATGGCAGCAAGAGAGGGAGAGGAAAACAGCACATAACCTACCTAACAAACTGGTGTAAACGAAGAGTAAGACAGGGTTTAGAAGAGATAACAAAAAGACAGAATTTATTAAGAACTACAAAAGACAGGAAATTGTGGAGAGCTATGATCGCCTAGATCCAGAAGGATCATGGCATATAGAAGAAGATAACCCAAAGCCTATTAGCAGATTGACTCACAAATTATCTTTTAATATTTCTTGGCATTTTTCTGGTGATTGTCATCCTGAATTCTCATCACACTGAACTGACAATTGTCTTGTCTTGAAATGCGTGTTGCTCAAATCTGTCAGTCAGTGTAAAGATTGCAAAGCCATTCCCACAGAACATTAGAAAACCATGCATAACAAATGAATACAAATAGATAACACAAAGCCTGTTGGTAGGCAGACTGATTTAGTAGGTTGTGTATGAATAAATATTAGCTGCACATGTATTTCCATTGAATAAGTAAAAGGATGGGAACTATCTGCTTGTTACTTCATATAACACTGTACAACAACATTATTAAGGAATCTCTTTTAACATTAGACAATTTATAGTTTATAAATCACTTTCAGACAATTTTAATTTTTATTCCATTGTTGTTTTATATCAAATTAACTTTCTTCTGGATTCATCTTAACCAAAAAGAAAATAAAAAATTAATTCATTCAATCTTAAATATGCAGCTCAAAAAATACAATGACAAGACAAACAGGGAAACAGAATGGTAGGAATAATTTGTTTAATTCACACAGTATTCCATAGACATGAATATATTATTATATCCAACTGTTCTCCCCCTCAGCTATGGGTAAATAGTAGGACAGACTGGGTTCTATATCCTTGGGTAGCAGGAGAAGAAAAATTCTGAATTCAAAACTCTATATAGCCCTGTCAAAACAAATACTATGCAGTTAGAGAAAGGAACGTTCACATTGACTCAATTATACCGACTACAGTTGACTCCCAGTATGGAATCCTTGACAAATCTATAACCTTTGTCATTCTTTCATTAATTTTATTTTGCTGTTTCATTTTTAACCTTACTTGAAGCAGTTTTTATTACTTCCCAGAGTTTCCATTCTCATATCTTTTAATAGTAAACAAGTTATCTTTTCAGTTACTTTCTGTAGAAGCTAGCACAATTCTATTAATTTAGTATCTCTGAAATCATAAATGGCAAAGCAAGCAATGGTCAGTAGGACTATCATTCAGCATGGATATACATTTTAGCCTTAAATCTTCTTGATTGAGACAGCTCACAAAAAAGAAAAAAACATTTTGAAGGATACTATGATTTTACTGTTGACAATACTCGTTCAAAACATTCCACCTCAGCACTGTTATCTTCTGAGTTGTATCAGATATTTCCATGAAGGACCCAATGTCTAGCCTAGCCACCAGATTCAGCCAATGTAGCTCTACATTCATCAGTAAGAATTACTGTTGAGAGTTCAGTTTTCATGTACTTATTCACATGACTTACACATTTAGTTTTGTGATGTTTACTTAGTTTGACTGCTTTCCTATCTTTACACATTATTTATCTTTTCTTTCTGTTTAATATCAGCTTCTTGAAATTATTTTTGCTGGTCAGTTTATTGCCCTTTAAATTTTTCTCAAATATTTTTAATATTTATGAAGCTATTTTTTATTATCTTGCCGATATTTTCAATTTCCTTTTTGATTGTTCTACAATCTTTGCTCGGCTTTTTCTCGATTTCCAAAATTCTGTCTCTTTACAATATCTCGATTTTATTTTGAGGTTAAATCTTTCTTATGAGCCATGATAATGTTTATATGGTTGAAATTAAAAATAAATATCACTAACTATGCAATTATATGTATTTATTTACAAGATGATTAACAACATTTGGAGCGTATAATAAACTCATACACCACCAAATAAGTTACTGTAAATACTTCTAATAAAAATAGAAAAGCGGAAAAGTTTATTGCTTATGCAACTATATACTGAAAATTTTACCAGCAGCAGTTGATTAATATCAGTTTTATTGTGAAAATATTGACTTGGATAATAAAATTTGACATAGTGTGTAGGCAATAAAAATAAGATATGAGTATCGATTTCTAATTGTCAGATAAATTTACACATAACCACAGGATTTTTATCTTATCAGCACAACATACAGACATATATTCAATGACCTATCATCTCAACTTTTTATAATGTTATCACTAAATTCCACATAATATTTTAACCTTCTTTTAATGGATAGCACATGTAACTAAAAGGGAAAATAATGATATAATCAGGATGATGACTTTCAACACAGTCTTAAACAAAAGGTTAAGAAGAAAACTCCAATCAATGCTAGAAAGAGCAGCTAGTGGTTTTGAGAAGCCTATTTTCCTGAAATTAAATAAAATGCTATAAGAGAAAAATATCAGTAATGCTGTCAATGAATGTTGAATGTTTCCTGTATGGAAACAGCTATCTTGCCATTTAATCAGTATCATACAGTAAATAATTTCATAAAGAAAAGAAGTTTTATTATTGTTGATTTCTTTCATGTTAATTTCAGTTGCTTTTTATTGCAATTTCCAGATCATTATTCATTGATTGTTAGGAAACAGTACATATTAGAAATAAAAAATAAACCTCTTTATTCTTTATTGCCTTAAAGTCTAAGCTTGTTTGAGAAAAAACAAACATTTATTACTATTTAACTACATTTATTCAACAAGGTAATCCCAAGAGAAGGAGAAATCCTACTTGGACTTATTACTGGTAAACGCAATCTATAAAACATAAAGACATAAAACAACATAAAATATACAGATGACACTGTGTTGATGGCAGACAGAAAGGAAAATGAATAAACTCCTAGACAAGGAAGATGAGAAAAGATTAACCATCAATTTTAAGAAGACAGAATGTATGGTTGTTAGCAAAAGGGACAGCCCAAGATGTGAACTACAAATTAGGGATATTAAAATCAAGTAAGTCAAGAAATTAAACAGTTTGGGAAGTGTTTTAAAAGAGGATGGAAAATGTGGCATCAAAATTTGAAGGTGTATTGAAAAGTGCCTTTCAAAAGCTAAACAAAGAAATAGGAAAATTTCATTAGAAACAAAGAAAAGAGTGCTGAACTGCAATGTAATATCAATCCTCCTATATGGCAGTGAATGCTGGACAATTTCCTCATGGGTGAAGAGGAAACTTGAAGTGATGCAGATATCATTCTACAGAATTTTCTTTATCCTCAGAGAATTTCCATAACTTCTTGGGAAAGATAGTGCAGTGGTTCCTCATTGCCTTCTTCACAGATTCCTTTTATTTATTATCTGGGAATTGCTATGGATTCTTGGGAAAGACATTGGAGTCGATTCCTGTTGCCTCTTTCTTGATTTTGAATTCAGATTCTTAGCCTACTTTAGAGGAGAGGTCAGTTCATCCAAGATTATTTCAATAAATAATAAAAAAAATTTGTTCCATGTGTTTTAAGGAAGCAAAAAGGACAATTCTATTTATAATCAGACAGAGGAAGTTCAAATTGCTGTGGCACATATTGAGGAAAGAGGGATTAGAGTCTTTAATCCTTGCAGGGCATTGTTGACAAAGAGAGTAGCAAGTAGCCTACCTAACAAGCTTACAATGACAGAACAATCTGGAATGGACACTAAGAAGACAAATAATACTTTGAGCTATGAATGTTAGAAAGTTATGGAGAGCCATAATCACCAAAGTCCTAAAAAGACATGACACATAAAAGAAAAATAATGATGATTATATTCTTGAAAAGTAAAAGGTTTTATTCTCCCAAAATGTGACATTACTTTTCAAAAGATCCAATATTTATTCAGTTTCACTTTCTTATATATTTTTTATCATTATATTCTTTTTCTCCTTCTATGTGTCGTGTCCCTTCAGGACATTGGCAATCATGGCTCTCCACAACTTCTTGTCCTTTGTAGCTCTTAATAAATTTTGTCTTTTTATTATCTCTCCTAAACCCTGACCCTGCCATCCATTTACTCACGATAGGTTATGTGTTAGTTTTCCTCTATAACTCTTGCCATCAATATGCCCTGTGAGTAACAAATTTTCTAAGCACTCTTTTCTCATTAGGTGCCCTGGAATTTTCAACTATCTCTTTCCATTTTCTCTAAAACTTCATCATTGTTCACATGTTTGGTCCATGGTATTTTCAGTATCCTTCTGTAGAATCAAATTTTCGTTGCTTCATCTGTGAGGAGATTTTTCGGCATTCCCTGCCGTGTAGGAGGATGAATATCATGTAACAGTTCAGTTGTCTTTTCTTTGTTTTTAACAAAATGTTTCTGTTTCTTAATATTCTGCTTAGCTTTTGGAAGGCATCTTTCACTATCTTCAGATTTCAGTGTCACACATTCTGTTCTCTGTTAAAACACTTCCCAGATATTTAAATTGTTCTACTTGTTTGATTTTGGCATCTTCAATTTGTAATTTGCATGTGGTCTGTGCCTTTTGCTGACAACCATACATTCCGTCTTCTGGCAATTGATACTTAGTCCTTTCTTCTCGCTTTCATTCATTTCCTTCTCTAGGAGTTCTTGTTATTTCCTCTCTATGTCTGCTATCAACACTGTGTCAGCTGCATTGCTTATGTTATTAAGATTGTGGCCACCAATAATGAATTCTGGTAGGACTTCTGATTCTCTCAGGCTTCACTGTAAAGTTTGAATAAGTCTGGTAAGATGACATATCTTTTTCTTATGCACCTTACTATTTTTGTATATCAACAAAATTCATTTTCTATCCAGATGCAAGTGGTTTGCTGAATAATGTAATGAGTAAATTTAAGAAATATATTGGCTGATTCTTTTTTTTTTTTCAAAAACACATAAAGGTAAATAAGAAAGGAAAAAAATCAGGCTTTATAATTATTTATTGGGTATGAACTTTGACCCCACCAGATTAAAATTTAAAATGTAAATTTAATGTTAATAAGTAGAATTACTAAAGAATATAAATTGTACTTTTAATGTAGTTTTTGAATAAGACTAAGGGCAAAGACTAGTGGAAGTCAGAAAAATTTTCAGTCAGCAACTTGTGGCACTCAAACAACTAAAGCTTACTGTAAGCATTTCTAAATTTAACATTTAGCACTCTTTATTTATAAATATTACTTCCCCTTTTACTGTATATCAAAATTTTGTTTTTTATATATTAGTTATATATATTTGAAATTGCAGTAGACTGGCTCCCAATTTCAGTCAAGATTGTTTTAGGTGTTGCCATAGAAGGTTATGACTACACAACCAAGAAATTCAAATTCAACTTGCACTGGCAGGACTAACAATTTGTTTGGCAAAAATAGTCACCTATCGAATGCTAAAGGTTAAGCAGGTTTGGACACTTGTGTAGAATAGAAATATTTAATTGAAGTGCTTGATAAACAATTTACTTAGATTTAAATCAGTTATTTATTTTACAAGCAAAAATGAAATATGAATGAATTAAATCCAAATTCATGCATGTTTTACAATATCTGTTCCGTCATTTCTTAATCCATTCTTTCTGATTGTGCTGAGATGTAAATGTTTTTAGCTAGAATTTAATATTTAATATACACAAAAATTTCCCTCTGCAAAACAGTTGAAAATCTTTTTAGAGAATATCTCCATCATGTGCCTGATCATCATACATCATGATATATATAACATATTTTCTGGCATTCTTTGCATTAAAAAAAAAAAGATTCTGTTTTGTAGCGTCACTTCATAAAAATTTCAATGTGTGATCATAAAGAGCAGTTTATGGAATTAAAACAAAAAATATAATTAAATAAACAATAACAAAATAAAACATTTACCTGACAAGTCCAGAAATATATTATCTTCCAGAATATAAAATTGGACTTGGGGAAAAAATTATCCTAGTTGGCTGTAATTTAAAATTTTACCTGTCAAATCTTGTATTACTTTTTCTTAGATTTGTGTTTGGAATATCTTTTTTTTTTATATGAATTTGAAACATATACAGTGTAACAGCTAAACAGTTTGGCAAACTACTGTATATACTCGCGTATCATGTGATTTTTGAAGACCTAATTTTGAAACTAATTTTAAGGGAGTCACATCATACACAAGATATAAAATTAGCATACGCACTGCTGGCCTTGGCTATGCTGTTGACCAAACTATATATCCAAGGTTGCATGATATGTGAGTATATATGGTATATTCTATCACCTGTTTTACTAGCTTACAGTGTGGTAGATTGTCAACCCAGTTTTACCACCTGTATGGTAGATTGTCAACCCAGCTTTTAATTTCAAAAATTGCTTTAAACTTAGGAGTCCTCACAGTTGAAAATATTTTTCTAACAACATTTCAGTTGGGAACTAGAAATTTTATTGGTGGTAGACGGAGAAAATCACCTGAGTTTCTAATATTGTAAAGACATTATTATTAATAAATAAAAATATTAAATAATATTGATAATAATAAATATCATAAATAAAATAAAACAGATAACATTAAAACTTTGTTTAAAATAAAATAAATAAAACCAAAATAATAAAAGTTATTCCAGCATGCAAGTCAAAATGTTTCCTGCTTGAAAACGGACTTTGTGCAAAAAAAAAACAAAAAAAAAAAAAAACACACTGAACTCACTCTCTTCACTATAGAACCTCCCAGGGTCAAGACATCCATCTCTTCTCAACACATTGCTTGTCATAAGATGAAGTGACTTTCTTCCTATATTACATGCAACCCCATATGTGCAAAAATTGGTTAGATGCACACACATAGGAAAAGAAAGAGGGGAGGCAAAAAAAGGTAGTGCGAGTCATTGGTTCACAGGTTCACTAGGCAAAACAAATCTACATGTCTCTCTGCATCTCGATCTCCAATACACCACTCTCCATCAGAAGTGAAAAGTGAACTACCGTTGAATGAGCATAACATGCTTTTATGCACCTGACCCAGAACCAGCCAATAAAAATGGCTAAAAGCGACACCGCCACTTCCATCACCACAAAGTGCTGCGCGATTCACCATCTGTCCAAAGCTTGCCGATTCACACTCCTTAGCAAAACATACATGCGACTCTGACCCTTTTGGATCACCGAGCTAAGTCACTGTTACAACATATAAATACAAGTACACGAAAATAAATAAAACTATATGATTTTAATTTACAATTTAACAGGCTTTTAGTGTTAT